AAAAAGAAACACATAAAAGGAGCCACATGTAACCCTCCCACTTAGCGTTTAAAATGGGTCCTGGAGTCCAAATTCAAAACATTGAAGAGAACTGTCTCCCCCTGAAATTTAAATGCAGAGGCTTTTTAGGTCAGGTAGAATGAGTTATATCTGAACCAGTCCATTGCTGCCAAACCTCTTGGTTTGCCCTTTGCCTGGCAAACTGAGGGGCGTCCAAAACGGCCATGTGGGAGTGTCTTAAAACCACCTACCTTCCCTGGTCAAAACAAAAACAGATCGTTCAGGACCAGAATCTAAACTTAGAAGGAGGACATACTGGCTGCTGCGTTGCTGTCAGGGAAGCCAGCACTTCAACACAGCATGTTTCCTTAAAGTCTGATGATGTAGTAAGGTCAATTTATGATTTAAATCAGGAGATATCTTACATATTGGACCTTGAAATAAACCAAAGCATCATAACAGCAGTATACACACAAAAAAAACATATGCTTGTATCTCACTTCTTTAACATTTTAAGACTGAATTTGAGATGAAAGGTTGAGATGAATTTGCATTTATTTAAAACAAAAAACTCTCCTAGTCATAACTAATTTATAATTTTGCTGTTTTGTCAACACTGCATTTGCTTTTTATTCGAGGCTGAACCAGGAAGTGAACCAGGGACCTTCACTGTAACTTGCTCTATGTTGCCACTTTGTAGAGTGTAGTCTTCATTATATATCCATATTTGGGACTCCTTTATTTGAAGGTTTCTCCTTTTCATTTATGATTTTAATTTTGATTGTGTAATTTTTTTTTTTTTAAAGTTGGAATTTTATTAACACAGAATACTGTGTTATCACAACTGGTTTAAAGTGATTATAAGTAACTCTGACTTATTGTTTTTACACTGTGAAGAACTTCAAAGTAAAAAACAGGTTTTCCTTTAGTAAGAAATATATAAAGCATATAATTTCAATAAGATAATAGCATAAGATACTGTATATTACAATTGTCTTCACAGCTTTTTAGCTTGTTTTACAAAAAGTTTTGAAACACACCAAGTTTATTTAAACCCCTGCATTCTTGAACACACTGAATTTCTCACCCGGCACGAGCAATCTCCCCTTTTAAGCCCTCCTGTTAGGCTATACACTAAAGTGTTTGTGTGGATATTTTTTTAACAGAAGCAGTGAGATAAACCCTGTGCTCAACCATCCACAGTGGTTGGAAGATATAATTGTATATTAGCTGTTGTTAATGGTCATAACAAAAGCAAAAAAGACTTGCTGCAAATAAAACTGTTGAAGTGCGCATCTGTAGAAATTTTGCTTGGGATTTAAATTTAAAGGGTAAATGCAGAGGCATAACTGATGAAGGTGACCAAAAAATCAGAGGTAAAGTTTTTGCATGCATGCATGTGTGCCTCCACTCACCTTGAGATCATTTCTGATGAAGCTGCGTTTGAGAGTAGCAGCGATGGGGTCCTGGATGGTGAAGTCCCAACCACAGAAGATCTTGTAGCTCATGTTCGTGCTGTAACGTCTCCCGAGCATCCAGGTGTGCTTGTAGCCAACTATCGTCCTATTAGAGGAGTGTATTGATATAAGGAGATTTAATCGACTTTCTTATAGATGACCATTTTAGAATATTTATTATTTGTAGATATATCCTTTCTGACCTGTGGACCACCATAATGAGACTGAGGAAGAGGATGGTGAGGATTCCAGCGAAGTACAACAGAGGTGTTTTCAGACACGGCTTATTCAGGGAACCGGGAGTATAAAAACCCAAGAAGACAGGAGAACGATCCAGGTACCCCTTTAGAGAAAGAGGAGAGAAATTAGATCACATAAAACGTACAAATTAAAAATACATACCATCAAGAGTCACTCTCAATTGTCAAGAAAAACTGGGATTTGGAAACAAATGATAATCAGCGGTCAGACTTTAAAGCATCGCCTCATCATCCATTTGTGCAAGGCATGGCCTTATTCAATATAAGACGGTGTTATATGTCTAAGGTTAAGCTTTCAATGTTTTTCCCTGGGAGTTAGTCCTATCTGTTACCAATGAAAGCCTGCCAGCCTCTATCACACATTTTCATCTTGTACGAGAATAACAATATTCTGATCTTCCATATTTAATGCATACTCAGTGATTGCAGGTTGAACCGTTGAACTATGCCCTTTTATTGGTCTTTTTAGCGTTGTGTCCAAGGATCTTATTCTGACAAAAGCACAGTTAAGCAGCTAGGCCAACTAAGCCCTTCTTACAAGGTGTCTCATTGAATTGGAAGAGGGAAAGCCCCTCTTTTTTGGCAGGTGGATTTGTGAGGTCATGCATTTTGTCGATATAAACGAGACAAGATGAGCTTTGTGGGAAGTTTCATGCAGTTTGACAACCTTTTATTTCTTATGTGGAACATTAGACCGAGCTGCATAACTCGAGACATGGTATTTCTTTGTATACGCACACTACTCTGATCGGGTGTTTTTTATTTTCTTCTTTTTTATTTCTCATTTTGCTGTGTTGTATTTGGTTGATTTTCTTTTTTGTTTAATTTTGATTCTTCCCCATTCATTATGGCTGTGACACTTATTTGTGCTGTATTTGTACTCTTTGTGTGAAAAATTCCATTTAAAACAAAGTGACAACAGAAAAAGAAGTAAGCATACAAACAGTTAAACAAACCCTCACCGATCCAAGGAAGAAATCCAGAACAGAGTCATCCTCTCCAAACCTCAGAGGTTCTGTTAAATCACAGAGAAAAACACTAAGTTGACACTGAATCGTTGTGAATTTAGTGAAATCTGTTATTACAGCTGACTCACTACTGCTGTTGCCCCTGCCATAAAATGCTGTAGGCCCCAGAATGAAGCCTGAGATAAGAGCGCAGTGAAGGAGGTTCAGGTAAATCAGATATCTGAGGAACACAAAGTAAGACTTCACGCCGAATCCAAACCTGCCTGAAACACAACAGTGACAAATAAAACAGGCATGTCAATTCTTCTGATCATGTTTAAAGGATAAAGGTAATAACACAACTCTACTTCGTATACATCAGGCTTTTCCTACCTTCGATGGTGTGAAGAGTGTGCTGCCATGGTAACAAGCCTGATAGAGCTCCTCCCATCTGTGCCCATACCCTCTTAGTGGCGATGTTCTGACTCCGCCTCCATGACTCCCAGCAACTAATTTTGCTTCTTTGCATATTCCTTCTGTCCCTAATCAGAGGATATTGGGTAATGAATCATAAATGATGTCTTAGTGATGTCATCAGGACTGGCTTTGATTCATTTTCTTCTCTAAGTGCTTTCATTACGGCAAAGTTCCAGTTTAAGGATGCATCCTTCGGAGGGTGCATATGAAGACCAATTATGCCACAGCAGCATGTCTAAGGCTGTCCCATTTCAAAGGCTCCTTCATATGGAGCTGCTAGGGACTTGGGTTGGAAACTAAGTTTCAACATATCCCAGATTCATTGTGCGCCAACGATATGATAATGATAAAACTTTAAATGATCTTTGAAAAAATAGGTTAAGTTACAAGACATTAGCTAGTGCAGCTGTTGAGGTTGCTAGGAGACAGGGGTGGCACAAACAAAATAGTAAGGGCAAGGGGAATTCTCTTTAGACCAGGTCGTCTCAGTTCAGCCTGAGCGGGTAATGCAGGATGCCGAGTCTGGGTCCTTCAAAGGATGCTGACCCCCCAAAATGAGACACAGCACATTCAAACACTGATGACAGAGGATGCTAAGGGCCCATCAGTATCAGCTCATCATACCCATTCACGCGCCACTAGCTATGCCACAGAGAGTTATTTGGAATTAGTGTCTTGCCAAAGGTCACTTGGACCACTAAATATCATTATCATAAAGTTTAATGCAAAAAAAAGTAGGGGGTAGATTTTAATGTGTGTGTTTCCCACCTGGCATTTCTTTTCCCCTGAATACACAGGACGAGGTTCCTGAGCGGCTGTGTAGACGTTTTGTCTCTGGGTCCCGGGGACAGCTGGCCATGGCTGACCCTCTTCCCCAGCTCTGGGCCACCCTGGTAGGCCTGGACCGGTCGGAGGGCCTGGACGCTGGGCAGCTGATCAAATATCTCAGTCTGATAGTACTCATAGGAGTCAGACGACTGAGAGCTCTCCTCTGTGGTGAGGAAGACACAATTTAATTCTGATATATGAATATTCACAACAGAGCATGTTTACAGACAAGCTGTTTATAATGACAGAAATAGGGTAAAAGGACAAAGGTCACATCTTAATAGTGTATTGTTTTGCTTGACTAACATGCACTGAAAGTTTCACATTTTTGGTATTTTTATCTGATATTTCATTTGATTTCATGATTTGATATTTCCTTAATGAGTCTTAGAGTAAATAATAACAAAAAAGTTGAACCCCTCCTGATGCATTTGTATGAATTAGACCTGAGTAGGACTAACGTGTTGACATATAGCAGTGTTGCTACACTTTGCTTTTCTGTGTGGAGGATTCATGTAAGTGAAAAAAACGTCATATTCTGTTCATAAATAAATACATGAAGTACAGTAATACAGTATGTCTTATTTTTACTTTTTGAAAAAAACTTTATCCAATACACAGTATATTTTATGTACTGTTAAGGCTTTACCCAGCATAAAAAAAACATCCACATGTTTTAAGTGCAAATGCAGTGTTGAACAAGCAAAATATCATCTCACATTCAGAGGAAAAATGCACAGCCAATAGTTGTGTTATCGTTACCTGACAGGCATCTCAAGAAGCTGACAGAATTGTGCTCCTCCATCTTGTTTTCATGCACTTCCTCTTGAAAAAATGTTCAAACATCAATCTTCTTGCTTCAAGTCAACAAACATCCCAACCAATGCTGCACCTTAGAGCTCTACAAGGCAGTTACTTCCGCAATCTGCATTGCAACAGCCTCCTTTGCATTCACATGAACACTTAGGCCGAGACCCCAGAGAGGCTCATAGATGAGTCTGTGTTGTTCTTCAACTCCTGATGGTACGGCTCACTTTTTGGCAAGTGGAAAATCATTCTAATTATTGACTGACAGTTTGTGTAGCAGAACTTGAGAGCTCCCAGGAAATCACATGACAGGATGCAGAAAAAGGCGTCGCATTAGCAGCTGAAAAGAGCTCATATACTTTCACAACATAACAACAAATGCTTACTCATGCACTGCACTGACAAAAAGTCTATCTCTACCTCAATGTGAATAATACAATGCAGACATATGTGCTTTTTAGTGTTATTTGATTAGTACAGGGTTAAATCCACAATTCTTATTTGTTATCTATTGGTTTACAGTGATATTATATTTTTGAATGGCTTTGGCTTGGAAATCAACAAAGGAAATATAAACATTTGGTTCAATATGATAAATTTGGATTGGATTAAATTTGGATTTTGTTTTGTATATTTTGTATAATTTGCCTCCATTCAGTCTAAGGTGTGGGAAGCAATGTCACACCCAAAAGTGAACTTCCCTTAACTGAGACAACTCATAAAGTGATAACATCCGTTATCATAATCTACCTTTTACATTCATGTAAACAATCATCAGTTTAACATCACTGTGCAGTGTTTCATCATGTGGAAACTGACTTCTAATGTATGAGGCGATGTAGCAGAAAGGTTCCTTCTGCCCACTTTCTTCACCACAAACACAGTTGTTGAGGCTTCCACTTAGCCCCGTTAACAGAGAAACATGAGGATGGGCATCACTTCTTTTGTGCTAGTTTGACAGTCTTGGTTTCAATTCATCTGAAATGTGAACTTGTAATTACCCTACATGGTCATGTTATTTGGAATACAGGTGCTGTTGTATTTAAAATAATTGAGCTTATCCTACTGTTTCAGGCTTTCCAAAAAAAATTGTTATGCAAGTAAAAGTCAAAATGTCTCAAGGTAGAAATGTTGCATTGTAAGTAGCATAAGTTCTGCATTCACAATTTATGTATTTACAATAAGAAATATTGGTCACAAATATAATCAAATGATAGCAACTAAAGTTTGTATAATAACTTAAAGACATGCCATATTTAGTAATGCCCCACTAAAACTATTTACCTGTTTTCAGAGATAGTCAGGGTGTTGCCAGGTAAGGGCTGGTGAGTAAAGAGGAAGGGCCAGCACACTTTGAGGTCAGGTGACACCCAGGTTGTTATTGTTATAGACCTAGTAGACCACTGTTTGTATTACCTTTTTATACTTTATTTATACTATAGCCTAAGTAAAGCAACGTCTGCTACTCTATTCTCCAGTGTTGCCTCAACAATTGTTGGTCATCTAAGTAATATAGCAATTAATTTGACTGCTGCTAAGATAAGTTCAGACAGTCTATTAAGTGTGGTTTCTATTGTTTTAGTAGACAAACACCGGTAGAGGGATTTCAATGATGAATAGGACTGTACCAAGAGAGGTAGCGTTACGGGGGTGATATATGCATTACCTCGTTGTCAAAAGAGAGTCATTGGGCTGAACGGGTTTTAGTTGCTGGTGGTATTTGTAAAAAAAAGATACTGCTTAAAAGAAGGACTACAGGTTTCGTATGTGACTATGTTGCAATATTTTGTGTTGAAAAATATAGAAACGCAAACACCCCTTTGAGACATGGTTTGTCCGCCGCTGCCCGGGTTGTTGCGCTTGCATGCTGCTGTGAGTGACACAGAGGAGACTACAAACTCAACTGGTTTGACAAGTTATTGAACAGGTAGGTGGACTTTTTTATTTTTGCTTTCTCTGTCCAACTTTTTGGGCACTTTTCCCACCTAATTTAGCTCCGCTGTCTTTTTCTGTTGTTATCACCTCCAAAGTACAAAAACGACAACTTGACTGAAACTTGTTGACAGGTTGACAAACTCGCAGCTAGTCGTTGACATTCACGATTACATTTCTCTCCACAGTAGAAATAACACAATACAGAAAGTGTGTTTTAAATGAAAATTGAAAAGGGCTGCTGTTAGTCGATATATCATGCCAGCTTACTCAGCAGAAAGTCTGTAGAAGTAACAACAGATTCACAATCCGGGCTGAATGAACCACTGTGGTTTGTTGTAGGAACTACCTTGAACTCTTTTTTTGAGCGTTCTCGTTGAAACTCTAGGAATTTGTCCATGGAAAGATAGACACGGAGAGATATGTATTTCTTTCCAAGTTTCTGTGGTAACACGGGTTCACAGTTTCTGTCCCGTAGCCAACATTCAACCTATAATTTTGTCCTTTTCTTTTTGAAAAAGAAGAAAACGAGGTATGCAGTGCAGTGGGCCCCATAGTGCAGTAACAGTGTGATTGTGTGTGTGCATGCATGCCTGACTGTGTTAAAGCCAGCAGAGTCGTTTGAATTGCTTCACATTTTCTCTTTTGTCTGTTGTTCTCTGACTCCTCTGCTTGTCCTTTGTTTTGCTACGTTTTTTACTTACACAGAATTGCATGTTTGCTGCTTCAATCCTCTCCAATTTGTCTCTGTAGCCTCCTCTTTCCTGTGACTAACTTTGATGTCTGACTCATTACATGAGGGTACTAATCTTCATGTTGCTATGTTTACTTCAGCTTTGTGCCTCTCTGCTCCCTCTGTTGGTTTTTCTCAGCACTCTGGGAACTGATTGTCCTGCAGTTGTTGACAGCTGTCAGTCGAGAGATTCATTTACACCCCACCCTTCCCCTTAACCCCTTATGCCTTACACTCATATCTGCTGATAACAACTTTCTGGTTTATCCACTGGGAAATGTTAATGTCTGCCGTGTGTGACATTAGTCAGTGTTTACTTTTAGACAGGGATCCCTTCTTTGTTTCCAGATTCCTCTTCCGTTCTTGAAACTCCAATAACCATTTTCCTTGTTTGTTTCATTCTTCTTACTTCCTATTTTGAATGCAACTATGCTCTCTAAATACCTTGTAACCCAACATAAACCCACGCTGAACTCAACTGTATTCTGTTTTTCCCAAGATGTTTTATTTGGCAGTCTTGCAGCTTCTCTCTGACCCCCTGTCAGGCTGTTGAGTGTTCTTCTGCCCCCACAATATCTTGTTAAAGCTATACTGTCTCACAGGACTGCTTTAAAATCAGTTCTCAAGTAAACACACATTAAAAACGGCACAAAGAGTCACTATGAGGCTAAACACAATGTTAAAGAACGGCAAGTCCCCACAGAGATGCAGAGATGCATGACGTTTTTGTGTTTGTTGCTCTGCCCTGCAGCACTGAGAAACTGACTCGCACAAAAACAGTTAGTCAAAAAACAAATGTGTGGACTGGACCTTTAAGAAAAAATGATCTCGGGAACCTCAGGTAATGAGAAAAGTCTGTTTGAGGGAAAAGCAGATGTGTGCTGTAGATTGCAGTTTTAGGGCCGGCAATGATTTAGCTCAGAAGAGGGATTAAGGTTGATTGTAGTAGAAGGACATTTTTGAGCTGTTCAGTCATGTAGTCAGTGTGTTGGCTGACATTCAGAGCTGCGCCCTGCTTCACATATATGCAGCTGGTATCAAATTCACCCATGAGTAGAACCAGAAAGACCTCCACTTCGAGCAGAAGTCTCAGTCTTTATTGTACCTAAATTTCTCACACATTGCATTTGTTTAGTCGTTTAAATATACATATAACGTAAATTGTCATTCACTCAGAATGCATTTCACAGATTACACAGAGAAACTTTTATCTGGGATGTTGTCAGTGCTGTTATCTGATGCATCTTTGCAATGTGTGTGTGGGTGCTCTGTGCATGTTATTGGTCTAGGATCCTCTTCCTGGGAAACAAAAGTTCCAGCATACTGGTTTTTAAACAACAGTTTTGTTTATAGGCATTGAGTAAGGGGATTTATCGGTACCCAGACTGAGACATAATCACATGCGTCTTGTTTCTGTTTTGGTAAGTGTGATAGTTTACCCTCATAGCTGGTTGAGGTCAGTGGAACAAGCAGCTCTCTGCACAGGTATGCGGTGGAAATACTCGTTGTTTTTACAGAGTATCAAACCTTGAGCCATCAGATGTTTCCACTAAGTTACAAAATCTCAAGAGGCACATTATCACTTTTGGAGCTGGTTGCATGTAAACAGGATGTGGCTCTGACTTAAATCTTTGTACTTACATATTCCTACCATGAACTTTACCAATACATAACATTGAACAGTGTAGTTGAATAAGATAGTAATGCTGGGATTTGTTTTACCTCTTTTTAGGAAAAGCTGTTACCATGATCACAGTGACATCAGATCACTGAGGCTGTTACTTAGAAACCTCTTTAATAACTTTATTTTTTTGCACAACAATTCAAATATCTTGGAGAAATCCATTATTTCCATACAAATTGTTTAAATGCATGCTAACAATTGCCCAATCCAACAAACAAATATGAAACAGCGATCCGAAGAGTATTAGGAAGGCAAAAGTGTTGTCTGAGTGCATTTCACTGTCCATCTGTTTATTGTCTTATTTTATATTGTCTCAGGCATGAAGATAAACTCTGAGATCTATTTTTTATGGCCAACTAGGACTTCCAAAGATCAGTCATTAAGCCAGTTTTATAGTTGTAAAAAAAAAGGCTGCTTCATCAAACACTTGAATAACTCTTTAAAGTGATTTAATCACTCAGCATGAACATCTGGATTTAATTTCCTTAAATCCTCCAAAACTCCACTAATGTTTTTTTTTTATATATATAACTTATGTGTTTTAAACAACAAGACAAGCTGTCTCTGGGTCTTTGATGAAGGTTTTCTGTGCAGTTGTTGTACATAAGTGATGAAAGATTTCTGTACCAAAGTGATGGCCTTTAAAATACAATTGAACACAAGCAGACACCAGCCTGCTTCCTCCGAACCTCCCATGAGACACACTCTCTGACTGTAAACGCTGACAATGCATCATTCTGTCTATGGGAATGAATATTCATTTCACTGCTGACTTTTGGACATCTGACACTGACCACAGTCCTCATCACAAGCAGGGTAACAAAGGAGCTCATTTAAATCTCTAGTCCGATGACCTAATCCCTCAAATTCAGCAGTGAGATTTTCACGTAACATTGAGCAGAGAGGGCTGTGAGTGTAGGGAGAATGCAAAAAAATGGAGGTCTAGATTTTTAAACTTTGATGTGTGAGGTCTTTATGTCATTTGCTTACGGTTACAGGTAACAGTGTCAAGTCAGTTGTCTGCTATAGATTCCTCAAAAGTTGTTTCCTCATTGTTTAGTTAAAATATACCTAGGACAAGCAGTAACACGACAAGAACGTTCAAATTCCAACAGAGTCCACTGGCATTTTTTTCTCTTCACTTCTTTACTCCTCCACTTCACATGGCCCCGCCTCACCCCCCTTTCCCCTCCTCTCTCCTCAGGTAGAGGAATAAACAGCATGGTGGGAGGGGAGTGCAGGTCTGAGCTGGTGAGGGTGCGATCCCTCTGTGACTGAGACAGACGGCTGGACTGAGGCAGACGATCGGAGGGGGACAAAAAGAAGAATGGCTCGAAATGTTAACTTTGACCTGAACTACCCTCTCATGGAAGCTGGACTGGAGTAAGTGTCTCTGTAGTCCCTTCTGATTCTACATATTTCTCCTGTTTTCTTTCTGTTTGTTTTTCTGTTTCAAGCTCAAAGTTCACTCAGCCATAAGTCGGGAGGGGAATAAGAGACTGAGATGAAAGGGTTAACTGAGCTTATTGATGTCTCATGAGCACTAAAGTGGACGGCAGATTCGAATCTAGTGTATTTTTCTTGTGTGTTTGTTCCATACAGTCCATCTCTGTTGTGTCAGTGTTTCCGTTTAAAACAACCTTTCTGCTTCTGTTGTTCTCGCTTCTTGTTCTGTCTATATGAACATATGAACGTCAAAGGGAACTAGACTGTGTTTTTTTTCTTCCTGCTTGCTCTCAGTAATAAATACAGTCCATTGGCTTAAATAGCAGGAAGAGGTCACACAGAAGGCAAACTGGGCTGTACTATCACAAGTGAACATAAAAAAGACTTCACAGAGTCTCTCCCCCCCCCCCCCCAGTGAGATTAGAGGGGGGGTGTCGGAGGGTCATTGTGTTTAACTGTGGTGTTGTCGGCAGGCAGCAGTCATCAGAGCGCTTTGGATCTGTACTGAAGTCTTCTGTAGATATCTGAACTAATCTGTAGATGTTTTAATACTGTTTTGCTCTACCTTAAAGGAAGAATGTGCGACATTTCACACATAAATGCAGCAGAAATCAAATTTTCCTCTGTAAATGTCTCTGTCATGGTGAGTCTAGCTGTTTAAGTGAGGGACGAGACAAAAAAAGAATAACATACTGTACTCACTGCTTATTTGAATGTCACATTAGCGTATTTGGCTTGCCTTTGTTTATTAACCTGGTTCAGTCCTAGGGATGCACCAATGTATCGGTTGCTGGGAGTAGAGAGTAGGGGACGACATGCAGCAAAGGGCAGAGACTCTTGCCTCCATACGTGGGGCACGCTTCATAACTGCTAGGCTATCGCCACCCCAAAAAGGGATTTTTTTTTAATGGGCAAAAGAATTCACCTTTTGGACAAACTCAGATTTGTTTTCATGGTTAAAATGTGAAAGAAAATGTGGACAGTGTAAGGCATGTTCCAGTGACATTTCAAGAAGAGATACTACTAACAACAATTTAAAAACATCCAATCACATAACTCATTTGAAAAACACACACAAAGTGTAACAAAAAAGTAATATGGGAATCTGTGTCTGAGTAAACTTTCGGCAAAGTTGATATTTAATCATTGTATCTGTATCAGCTTGATTTTCAAATTCTGTGCATCTCTACTATGTACACTTAAGGGATCCTAACCTAAAACAAGCTGAACTGAAGCTAGCTGCAGTGCTGCTCTTGGCTACTCCTGACGCCTTGTAGAGCAGAAAATAAATCCAGAATTGAACTCTGCTTCATTTTGTGATTTTCCCAGATTGAATTATCTTCAGTCTTAATTTAAAAATAACAATTCTTAAAATATGTTGTTGTGAAACACTTGATCGTCAACATCATGCTACCTTTGACTTATGTTACTGCATGCTTAGCAATTGTTGCAATTGTCATGTGAAAATGTACCTGAAATCTCCTTTTCTTTGTTTCTCTAATAAGATTGTTTCTATTGACAACCATAGCATAAACTATTAGTGTGTAGGCTTTTATTGTAGATGTGAGGAAACAAGTCATTCTCCTGGGGGTTAAAACATTTCTGTATTTGATTGGAGTATTGACTTGTTGTTATGTTTATGTGTCCCTCTGCCAGGAGTCCAATAGATGAAGAAGGGGTTCATGACTCGTTCACCCAGCTGATAGCAGAGCAGAGTCAGAATGGAGGACAGCCCGACGCCATCGAGCTGCAGCAGCTGCAGAGAGAACTGGATGAGGAGGGTCGAGGTAATCTGTGTTTGAGGGGACATAGATGATCCCAGCATGTGGAGTAATGCATTTGAATATGAACTAGTTATTATGGGAATAAACTATATTAACTTCATGATAAAATACTTTTTTTTTTATTCACATTATTCCGGTTTTATTGAAATTATTGCATTGTTATTTTTTGGCCATAAAAGTGAAAAAAAAGTACATATTACCAATACTGATGTGTTTTTTTCTTCTTTTACAGCAGTATTAATGTTAACAACGTTTTGTTTTTTCCACAGACGATGTGGCCTACCTGTCGAGCCCGGGCCCTGAGTTTAGGGGGAGGATTCGGGGACGAAGGATGTGGAATGGGAGGAAGATGAAAGACAGGTAGACCCCCTCATAGGTGAACGCTGGTCCTCGGCCACCTTGAGGGTCCTGTCCTCTATGCCAAGTCGCACCATCGGTGAGTCCTGCATAGCGACCAGCAGTACATACACAGAGTTGGTGGAACTGTAGCCTGCTGATGCTTCTTGCAACGTCAGAGAAATTAAACATTGAGTTGTGGGGCTTCATTAGGCGACACTCTTTGTCTTGGTAAGAGTCCTACAATAAGTAAGGATGACCCTGATGATGGCCATGAGCCGAAACGCATCGGTCTAACTTGTTAATAAAGTTAATCTTCTTACTACTGTGTTGCTGGAGCATTTTGACCTCTGCTACAGTACGTGAGCAGGACTTGTGGCCAATTAAAAAGAGGAGTTAATCGCAGTACTTGGCTTATAGTTGGATATTTAATAAAATGTTTTGATTGCTTTTCTTTTTTATTTAACTGTTTTTTTTTTAAATACCTTTCAAATGAAGCCCTGAAACTGTTGGTTAAAATTCTTGTCAGCTGACTTCCTTCCTGACACTGCAGCAGTGACAAGACCTAATTGTACAGACCATAGCATAGGTGTACTGTAAGGCTAGGTAGTTGAATTGGTCAATGCCGATCAATCACCGAAATATTTCAAGATCCTGGTGGGTTGAGTAAACTTTTTCCTACCATGGTGTGTTTTAAACCCATTTCAAGCCTAGGATAACAATGGAACAAGAAGTTTAGTTTCCCTACATTTGAAACTTATAGGATCTGTATGTGCCTTATAGAGTTGATCTAGTTAAAAGTGTATTTTATTACATCACTTAACCAACAAACTTAGCTTCTGTGTTAGCATGGCTTGATTCAGTTGCTTCTAGCGTGGAGCTGCGGACGGTAGAGAAAAAAAAAACAGGCTGTTTCAGCTGAGCAGAGTTTCATGGAGAAGCAGTCTGTATGGAGCCTTCCGTCTGTGGCAGGTCATCTGCTGCAACGTGTAGTTGAAGATATCTGTCGTCGATCCCCTTTTCTGTGCCACATGATAAATATATCTGCTGGTTGAGCTTTCAACATGGTAAGCATAAGTGAGAGACTACTGTTTATCTTTCAGTACTTCCTCTCTGCTGCTTTGTAAAAGCAGTTTTCATGTTAACTTGATGTCAGCTTGTTTTTTCTTTTTGCATTTTGATTCTTTATATATTTCAGTAGATAACAAAATGTTTTGTTTGATTATAAGTCTATATTTCAGACATTTCTGAACAGCATTAACGTAAACTAATAAGCCATGTGAGAAGAAACAATGAGTGTTTGAGTCTAGCCTGGCACAATTTTTGCATCTTTCTTTCATTCTGGTTCCCACCGGTTGTGATTTGGACATTTTGGGCCATTTTTAGGGTGAGCAACATGTGTGAGCTCACAGTAAACAGACAATTGTTTCACCCTAACTTTAGCCTGAATGTTTCCTATCAGTTCCCTTGTAATGATTCTGTTTGAAGTTGGGTTGAGCTGTTGTGATAATGCAAAAGGTAATATTCGGGAAAATTCCCAGCCAGCAGACAGGCTGATATTTGTATCACTCCACTGGTGAACAATCGTTGTGCACATTGTGAAGCTGCTTCAAGTATTCTATTTACCCCTCACACATCGATTCTGTGAAGACTTTGTAAAACTTGCCGTCGGATCCTGTTGCTTCGTCCACCACATCCGCATCGTCCTTTTTACATCATGTCACCAGGCAGGATATTGAAAAACTGGGGAAACAACAGAGAAAATGATGAAACCAAGGTCTTAAGGTTAAACACAAAGTTTGAACGTTCAGAGTTTTAAAATGTTTCACTGCAGTAAATGCTTAATCCCATCCCTGAACTGTCTGCTCCTCTTCCTCTTGTCAGGTCGCAGCAGAGGAGCAATCATCTCTCAGTACTACAACAGGACCATGCAGCTCCGCAGACGCAGACAGAGCAGGCCCTCCATCAAAGACTTCTCTCACTCTGCCAGACCGAGCATACGAGGCTACGGCATGGAGGCAGACAGCACAGATGCTCAGGATGCAGAGGGTGAGGGAAAAACTGTGCGCTTAGAAGACATTAGAACAAATACTCATCTGTTCTTGACATTTTTTGCATTTGTGTTTTGTGTTCCAGCGAGTAAGAGGGAACGCTTGGTGAACAACCTGCAGAACCTGTCAGCGGGCGACAGAGAGAGAATGCTCAAAGCGATGCCTCTCAGTGTGAGAGAGAAGCACGAACTGAGGTGGGTCTTCTCACTGAGCTCATTGATCCTGTTGGGATCAGTTGTGTTTTTAGTTTCTATTCTGATTGTCTCTCTTTGTCTGTTCATCACCAGGAGGCAAGCATTACAAAAAGAGAAGCGCACACTTTCTGGCAGCAAAATCCCCTGTTGCAGTCACCTCAAGTATTACATTATCATTGTGAGTCACTTACAGTATTTCTTTGTTTCTGAGCCTTTTTGTCTTACTGGTAGACACAGAGTCATTGCACTCTGACATGGTCTATTAAATACTGCACTAGTTTGTATACGTATCTATCGGATAGACTCAGATATTTTGCATACACAGACCGACCACAACTTCCATTTAGTAGCTGCCCTGGAGCTTTTGGACCGCATCACAGATGTTCATGAGCAGATGGAGCTTGCCATGTTTTCTTGAATTGAAGAAATTATGATAACATTGTTTAAAAAATTTAAAAAAAAAATGTAAAAGCCTCTTCATATTTTCTTACAAGGTCAGATCAAAAGTTTTAATCAAGTTAAGATGTTTAAATTAAACAACTGAATATTAAGCAGCTTGTCCTGGAATTGAGTTATAGTTCTGTTTTGCACACTCAACATCCCAAGGCCTAAAATCTGCATTTGTGTAGCTAAGAGGTGACATAATCTAAATCCACTCCAACTCATGAAATGTAATATTGGCATATTGACTCAGGTGAGCTGAATAGGAGCGGTTGTAAGGTATCTACTGTCAATGCTTGCTAAATAGCAATAAAGCATGTCAAATCTAAGTTAGATGCCAGGAAGTTTGTTGAGTTGAGTCATACTAGTTATCTAGGCTCTTTGTACACAGCTGGAAAGTTGTGACATTTTGTCTAGACAGAATAACTTAATTATTGTTCCCATTTTAAGACATTGCTTCTTAAGGAAATGTATCTCAGTGTCTTTGGGTGTTGTGGGTATTTCCTATTGGTGTTGTTATCGCGGATCCCTCTGTTGCTCAAGCATTTACTGCTCTGAGAGTGTGAGTCATAGATGTCAGACTCATTAAAGCTTAACACAAACAAATGCGTTCGTTATGTCTAGAATCTTACTGTTGCATTGTGGGTTGTTTTTGTAGGATATGGATACATTTATATTTCATCACTTGATTACCATTAGTTATTATCTAATGCCAATATCATTTATTTTTTTATAAATATATATTTACAGTTATTTTCTTCTTTCTCCTCCCAGGCTGTGAGGCAGAGTTGGTACAGCTGGCTGTCCTTCCTGCACTCCCTCCAGCTGTGGCAAGTAGCACTCAAGAGAGTGAGCGGTCGATTCGGCTCTGGAGTCCTCTCATACTTCCTCTTCCTCCAGACCCTGCTCTTCTTCAACCTCTTTCTGTTCCTTGTGACGGGTGCTTTCATGGTGCTGCCTCAGGCGGTACTCCCTCCAATTCAAGAAACAGGGAGCAACTCCTTCTCTGGGCTGGAGCTCCTAACTGGAGTGGTGAGCTAATGCCGTTTTTCAAACATACACAAAACGTCCGGAAAAATGTCCAGGTGAGCTGGAAACAGCAAACAGCAAAAATATTCAACGAAACTTAACACAGACTTGTTCCTGCCAACTCCCTAAGTAAAAATATCTGTATGAAATCAGGGTGAGCTGATGTGTGACGCAGCAGGTAAAAGACAGGAAAGTTCCCTATGTGCATGTAGGAGGGGGTGATGATGTTTATATTGCGCAATCAGTAAGTGACTGGTGCAATCTTCTTGCACGAAATTAAACTGGGTCATACGATTTTCTGCTCGCCGGAATGTGTTTTCTACTTCTTTGTTTATATTGTAGATAGGTCCAATAACATGTAAAGCTTTAATGTAAAGGCAAAAACTGTCCTTACAGCAGTCGACTCTGCTTTGCCTGCCATCTGGAAAATCTTGTAAACATTACAACCACAGTGTCCTTTTTACATCCTTTACTGCCTCCTGAGACAAACCTCCTCCTCCCGTCCTACAGGTAAAACTACACACTGTAAAGGACAGGTGTGAATAACAGCTGGCGTGTCCTGAAGTTTTCTAGAGACGGCTTCAATATGCCATGGTGACTTTGTATTGCTACACTTCTCAATCACTGTGAGGCCTCAGTTTGGAGAAAATGATTACCACATCCTGCATGATCAGTTTCCAGTTAAAAAGCCATCTCCCAAACTGAAACCTTTCAATAAAGTAGATGTCTTTTGTACACCAGATCAACTTTGGACAGGAAGCTAAAAATTAAAACAGATTGTGGATTTTTAAATTGAGTTAAGAGGATATATTTATTTTAAAATAAAATCCTTAATTGCGAGACAAACATTCAGACAAACTAAAATATTCAGAGTCATTCCATATTCCTTTTACCTTAATGGCCTTGATACTTTAATTATAATTCATCTAAATATAATAAAGAATCATGTTCTGTTTAAGGGATTTGGAGTAAAATATATAATAAACGTCAGTAATAATAATGATATTACCTCTCTGTCTCCTCTTGTCTCAGGGCTATTTCTCAAACTCGGTGATGTACTATGGATACTACTGTAACTACACACTGCGTGATGAGTGCCAGGACGATGTTGGTCTGAAGAATTTATCTGTGTTACATGAAACCAGGCAGGACTGTATGTCAAAGCAGCACTCTTACAACATGCCGCTCGCTTACTTCTTCACCATAGGAGTGGCTTTCTTCATCACGTGCATCATCCTCGTATACAGGTACAAACTGTGTTCAGACAAGTAGTTTTATCGTCTTTATGTAAGAGACAAACTGTTCCAACACAATCGGAATGTAAAAAACGTCTGATGAAGCATGCTAATTTGTGATTTCCCAACAGTATGTCAAAGTCGTTTGGTCAGAGCTTCCGAATCGATAAATCTCACAGTATCTTGGCCATAAAGGTCCTCTGCTCCTGGGACTTCAAGGTCATAAAGAAAACCTCAGTGAAGCTCATGTCTGAGAATATCTGCACCCAGCTCAAGGTACATGTAAACACACTCAAACAAATCTGAATCTGTATAAGCACATCGCCCTCTTTACATCCCTCTCTGTCACACACTTGGCGTGCAGGATTGTGGTGATCTGACACTCTCTTTTACTTCTTTAGCTCTCTGTTTCATTTCAAATATTCTTCTCTTGCCCTTTTTCCTCCCTCAAATCATTTCCCCACTGCCTCCACCTCTTCCAGGAGCTGCTAGCAGAGGTGAATCATAAGCATGTCAAAATCACTGTGCGTCAGAAGCTGAAGAGACTGGCAGTTCATGGCCTGGCATGGTCCATCTGCATTGCAAGCACTATTTCCTGTGTGCTTGGTATCTACTACTTCTCTGGTTTCATGTACCAGGTAAGGTGGGAGGGGTTTTTATGGTCTTAGATTAAAATGAAATAAGTACCTCAACTTTTATTGGTGTATACTTGGACTTCAGGCTATATTTATTGTCCTTGTTATTTGTTGCTATTCATGCATTTAGTGTGACCCTGCTGGCCACCGTATTTACTGTGGTTAAAGTAAATCCCACAAACCTCTTACCATCTGAAAATCTTTTGGTTGGGATTTTAAAGTCCACAATACGTTATTTATTAACAATTAACACGTAGTTAATCAAACTTCAGAGAGAGCACAGGCCAAAATAATAAACTAATCTAAGCAGCTCTCTTTAAAACTGGCGCCCTCAGGTATCCTTGAATACGGCGCACAAATGCAGCACTAGCTTCTGTCCAATCTTTTCCCAATCATGGAGCGGGTACCTGCAGCGCTGCACAAGACCGACAGATGCACAAATAAGAAAAGGAGCACAAAGGCAGATCCAATAATAACCAAACTTGAATATACATATGACTCACAGTCATAACATGAACTCCCAGTCCTGACGCTGTTTGCATGTCATCCACCCACATGTCTTGTCGCCCTAAAGCTGTCCTATCTAATAAAGGAAAAAAGCCCCAAATTAATCTCAGAAAAGCCATGCTGGCCAGCAGCTAGATTTTATAATGAGTATGATAAAAGAGGTATTTCAGATATAAAGACAGCTGGAAGATCATTTACGAGAGAGCTTTGTCCAACTTATATTTGTTTTTGTCTCTCTTGCTCTCTTCCAAACAGAACCTCAAACAAAGCAGTCCCATTATGAACTCGTACAAGTACGAGGCCAGCCTGCTGGCTCTCCCTGTAGTCGTGTCCCTCATCAACCTGTTCCTCCCTGGTCTTTTTGTCCTAGCAGCCTGGATGGAGGACTATGAGTCTCCGTCTGTACGCACATATGTCTCCATTGGCAGGTAGGAGTTCACAGCAGCCAGAATCAGTCAGCAGGAGTGATGCGTTTGGTGGCAAACATGTTGTCTGTTGTTGTTTCTAGAAACTTGATGTTAAAAGTGAGTGTGCTCGGAGTCCTGTGCTACCATTGGCTGGGTCGGGTGGCTTCTGACCCTCTAGGCAATGGACTGGAGGTAACTTAAAAGATGAAGCAACTATAGTTTTCAGTTATTCATTCTAGGGCAGGTACTTTTTCCTCACAGCGTTGAACAGAATTCATGTAGATCATTGATGATTTGCTCAGTGTGTTATTTGTGTGAAGGCTGTCTCTGAACTCTTCACTGTTGTCTTCAGTGCTGGGAGAGTTTTGTTGGCCAGGAGCTTTATCGTTTCCTGCTCATGGACTTCATCTTCACGCTGTTGGACACCTTGTTTGGAGAATTTCTGTGGAGGTAGGTCACTCATAGAAAAAGTCCTCTGTGTCTCTTTCTCTCTTGTTTTAAGAGAAAGTCTTGCAGAGAAAACGATCTGTGTATTTACTTTTTGTTGCAGAGCTTATAAAAATAAAAGATCTTTGTTGAAACTACAGACTGTATAAAAAGATGGATGGCACAACTGCTATCCAAAAATCCAAAATGTCCGTCTTCACTGTTGCTTCGATGTCGGGTCACACAATGGCTTAGCGTCAACATTCCCCGGATGTTGTTCCTTCACACACTTAACACACCTGGGCCACTGTGTTCATTGATAAGCCACACCCACTACCAGCCAGCCCAACTCAAAAGAGGAAGTCATGAGCACCAAGAGACTTTAGAACCTTACAAAAGACTAACACAATAGTCATTGAACTCTCCAGAACTGAGTGTCTGCTTCAAACTGACACAAAACTCTTTTCCGCTGTGGACTGCCTCCACCTGAGCAACCTTTTAGTGAGTGAGTTTGAATGTGTGCTTCAGTTGGCTCCTCCAGCCAGATCCCTACTAAGCACACTCTGGCTCCAAATGGTATCACCAGTAAAGTATTTCAGCACCTGTCTTGGAATTTTGGTTTCAATATTGTACAACAGAAGGAGATGGAGATGGGCTGTCTATATTTATATAGCATTAATTGGGTTAACTCATGAGCTTATAACTACTTATTTTTCTGTTTTTGTGTCTGTAGGTTGTTTTCTGAAAAGGTGCTGAAGCGGAGGAGGAGACCTGTGTTTGATATTGCCAGGAATGTCCTTGACCTCATCTATGGACAGACGTTGGCCTGGTACAAAACTTCTCTTATTATTGTTAGCTTAAATATTGTTACATGAAGTAAAATCATTTTGCTTTTTTGTAAAAATGACGAGTTCTGTGTTTTCTAGGTTGGGTGTTCTATTCACCCCTCTCCTACCTGCAGTGCAGGTTCTCAAACTCTTGGTTCTCTTCTACATAAAGAAGGTATATCAATAAAAACATTTCAATCAAAAGACTCAAAATCAAAGTTTTAACTGATATTTCTTCTTGGAAAAACGTGGACATCTCTTATGCATGTTAAACTGTTTGTTTTTTTGCCATTTCCCTGTCTGTCATGAGTAAGACGTGCTGAAACATGCTTTTATTCTCTCTACAGAGCAGCGTGATGATGAACTGTCAGGCACCCAGGAGGCCTTACAGAGTCAGCCAGATGCACACAATCTTCATCACTCTCCTCTGCTTCCCCTCCTTCCTCGGAGCCTCTGTGTGTGTCACGTACACAATGTGGAGGTACACACACACACACACACACACACACACACACACACACACACACACACACACACACACACACACACACACACACACACACACACACACACACACACACACAAAAAAAGCTGGAGTTTGTTTAGCATAAATTCTGAGTTGTTAACCCTTGACCTCCAAAGTCCAGTTTGTTAGGGTTAGGGCTCAGGCCCAGTTTTGCCTGGAGCAGTGTGAGTGCAAGTCAGCAGGGGAATAGGAAGGGGGGACAACCGGCTTCAGTGCAGAAAGGGGCAAATGGTCCTTGTGTGAGTGTGACCTTACTGAAGTTTGGAAAACAAGTCCGTATTTCATTAGTGATATAAAATGTTTTACTTACTGTTGCTGTGTTAAGAGCGAAACACTAAGACACACATTCTGTTTGAGAAAATAATGCATGAGGCTAATTCTGTTTTTTTAGGTCTCTTCAGCGTATAAACACTCAAAAAAGACTGATACCTGAAATGTTTTATACATTTTGCACTGGTTTAGATTTTTCTGGGATCTATAGACTTTTTTTATTTGGCCTGCCTACAGATGAACCGTAGTTTCTCCCGTTGTGACTTCTGCTGCGAACAGTTTGACACATACACTAAAAACATCTGTCTACTGTCCTCAGTATCACGCCCTCCTCCTCATGCGGTCCGTTTCGTGGGCTCAAAACAATGCTCCAGGCCGGGAAGCGCTTGGTGGAAGAACTGGAAAAAGATAATCCCAATTTGTCCCCGCTGGTCTGGGTTCACTCCTACCTGGTGGAAAACCCTTTCTTCCTGTTTGTGGGGGCAGGCATCTTTCTGTGAGTACTCACACACACTCGTGCACACAAAAAGAAGCCTAAGTGGATCCGTTTTTTTATCACTGATAAAAATAATAGACAGACTCAGTATGAGCACATCATCAAACTGTGTGTTTATTCATATCTGAGAAGTGTGGATGGCTGCACTACGTAGCAACTTTAAAATACCCAGTTTATTTTCTTGAGCTGCCACTGCAAAGCTGTAAACCCCTGTTAGTGAAAATGTGTACAATGAAGGTGGCTTTAAACCTTCTCTGTTAACTCAGGCTTCTGTTGATGGCTCTGCGTGCACTCTCATAAAAGGGGGCGTAGGACAACTGAGATGGTTGGTGGGTTAGGGGGGGTAACAGTCAAATTTAAAACCCAAGGAAAAGAAAGAGGAACTGAGTATAAGCTAAATTCTAGATGCTCAAAACCAAATTCTTTCACAAAACACAAAACAATAGAAGCTTATCTTTAAATAAAATTAATGAAAATGTTTTTGAAGCAGGTTTAAACGAAAATTCTGAACACGACCTGATCCTGAATAGGTTAGGATTGGATTGCAGTCCTCGGTAGTCCAGCCCAATTAAAAGATAGCCAGCAACTTGACACTAAAAAGTTACATTTTGAACAGACTCAGCTTTCCGACCTGGTTTTACTTCATAGACCTCCAGTTGTACTGATCACAGAATCAGAAATACTTTATTAATCCTAGGAGGAAATTCAGTGACCAAAAATTCTGATGCACTGTTTTCTTTTCCTCAGGATAGTCATCTACTTCCACAGTCAGGTGGTGGACGGTGAGAGGAAGATCATCAGCTTACTACAGGAGCAGATAGAAAACGTAAATATACCGTCATATATAACAACTCTGTCTCCCAGTCTGTGTAATTTCAAAGCTATCTATAAAGCTGGCTAATTCATCTTTCATCTCATCTGCTCAGGAGGGGGAGGATAAAAAGTTTCTGATCACTCGCCTGCAGTCCATCCATGAGCAAAGACGAACTCCCGCTCGAAGACTCACAAGTCAGGTCAGTCTTTGCTGTTCTGGATCTTTAAAACTGCTTTTTCAGTCTGAAACAGAAGTTTAACCACATCATCATCCTCCTCAAACCCCCTTGTGTTTGTTTTACAGGACTCTAACTATTGATATTCGAGCCATCGAGGTCTGGAAAAATCTTGAACCAGCAAGGATGTAACTGGAACATCATGGAAAGAAAAGCTGCATGAATGAGCAAATTCATGTTTTATGGATTTGGCAGACTTTTTTTTAAAGATTTGTTTGGGCCATTATTGCCGATGTTGGATAGGACAGCTGAAGAGACAGGAAATGAGAGGAGAGCCGGGGATGACATGCAGCAAAGGGCCGAGGTTGGACTCGAACCCATGGTCGCTGAGACAAGGACTGTAGCCTCTGTACATGGGGCGTGCAACATAACCACTAGGCTACCAGTGCCCCCTGATTTCATAATAGGCAAGGATTTTAAAAGCTGCAGCGTTTGTGGAGAGGAGGCACTAAACATGGAAATGTCAGGTGAGAAAGTGGATACCTGCTTTATGCATGATGTTCGTAGAAGAGACGCCTGAAGGAAAGATTTAGGAAGTTTAAATGTTATGGAGGGTAACACCTGAGGAATCTAAAAGCTGATGTTTTCTGTTAACAGAGATTTCATTCAGTCGTAGAAGCACTTTTATATCAACTGTGAACAAATCGTTTTTTTTTAAATGAGGTGCAAAATATGTCTGTAGTTTATTTTATTATTTTTTATGTTTTTATTTCTTTTTAAAATAATTTTATCAGTATGTATGTTGTAGGTCAACGTTGGATGCTATTGGTGTGAGTATGAAGCTTTGATTTCTGAGTTCTCTGTGAGCTCTTAAAGGGGACAGCGACCACTGTTGAACGTTGTTATAAATAAAACATGTTTTATCTTTTCAGCACGTCTTGTTATTTAATCATGCTTGTAGAAGATGTGGGCACTACAACAGCACAAAAAGAATAGTTACAAACTCAAAAGCCAGCAAGAAAACGTTTTGTTCATATCAGTATTATTGGATCGATTAGAATACAGGCATTGTTTTTTACAAATATGCAAATAAACACTCAAAGTTATCGCAGGATCAGTATCATATGATAAGACCTGAATAAAGGTCAGATATTCAGTAGAAAAATAAATATACACAATTTTTAAATGGCAGGAAGAATGCAATAATAATCTTTTTCCTTGTAACTTTTATTTGTGATTATTACCCATTAAATTAATATTTTCCAAAATTTGAAAAGCAGCAAATTTGGTCGAAGCAGCAGCACCATAGATGGATTTGTGAGATAGAGTTGACAGAAGAGAGCAGCAGATCCCAATAAAACAAACTGGTGCTTTCCCATCAAAATGATTTGAACCAAAACCATGATCGCCTGAACTGCACCCGGCACGCTGTGCACACATATTTTTAAGGAGCGTATGATTGTGTATGTTTGATTAAACAGCTTAGTCGCTCTGGTTTTATTGTATTCGTCCCAAAGCTCACCACTTTGTATTTTTTGGAGTAATTCAGTCATGTTTGTTGTTTATTGATAACACTGTTTGGAAGTATTGTTTTTTTATCAGAGTTCTTTTTGCAGGCTCCTCTTGCCTTCCACTTATCTTCAGCCCCTTGTTATCGCTGAAGAAAGTCATTAAAAAAAAAGTAACTCAGTTCCCGTCATTGAGCATGCCCAGTAGTGTCCTCGGGTCCATCCCCTGCTGCTGAGCCATCTTCTGCACGTCGAAGCCCATGTGCTTCAGGAACTGGATCACACTCATCTCCTGTCCCGTCAGCTGGTCCCGGATCGTCGGACAAGAGGGGTTACAGTGAGGCCAGGGGCAGCTGTCAATCAAATGTAGAGGGCAGCCCCTCATGGGTTGGGTCCTGAGCTTTTGTTGTGTGTGGTTGCCATGGCTACCGTTGAGGTGCTTGTTGACTTGGAGGCTGCGGTCCCAGCAGTGGAGTGCTCTCGGCAGAGAGGTGCCTTTCACCTGAATGTCCATCCAGTGGCTGCAGAGACACAAAGACACTCAGTGATGGAGACAGAATAAAGGCTTAACTATATGACAGCTTTGTTATTACAAATGAAACGTCTAATTTGCATTTCTTTTGCAATATTTGTGTAATTGTCATTTATAACTAAGGTACTGCAATGAGGGTAAACTGTAACGCAATACAAGGAAATATACCAGAACCTAACCCTGATTTCTCAGAGTTGTGCCCCTTGAGCCAAATGTTGATATTAATGATACAATAATTTTAAAAAAGGATTAATGAGATAGAAGACAGATTTACGAACAGTCTTTAAATTCTGTTTTAAAGAATAATTTCTATATGTTTTTTTGTTGTAATTTTTTTTTGTTACTCATCATTGCTGTCTGGTGGACAGACTGTGTAACAGCAACACTTTTTAGAATAACATATAGTCAGCAATTCCCTGTCATTTTTCCTGAAAACTTGAGCACATAATATATAACAAAACTATATACACATAATGATCTGTGATGAGCTCCATATAATCAAGCCAAGAGTGTGTGTATGTGGCTCCAGTCACGTAAAATCATTAAGGGCGATATTTTTGGCCATCAGGTTTTTATTATAACATTAAATTTACATGATCTCTTCTTGTATGATGTGCTGAAGGAACTTAATGTTTATTTATTTTTATAACTCCCAACAATGTGAAATTTTCTATTTATATTTATAGGTTTATTTTTTTGATTTTTGTTATTGAAGATAGTAAACCTGACACCTGAAAACTCTTAAATGTGTTAGGCTTTTCTTATATTAATGCTGAGCAGTGAAGATTCACTGTCACATCCATGTGCTGTGTATTGTTAGGTAAATGATCATCCAGATCTCTGCCCATTATATCCAATTTTATTGCACATTGACTGCTTATTCATAAATATACTTAACAGATTTTACAACACATGCTATACATGTAAATATTTAAAAAAATATATATTTAGTTTGTATAAAAAGATAAAGCTGAGTTTAAAGTTTTTGTATTTTTAAGGTTTTATTTTTGGGGCTTTTTGGGCCTTTATTTAGAGATCGGCCAGAGTGGATAAAGCCAGTAACCGGGGGGAGAGAGAGAGAGTGGGGAACGACATGTCTGACCCGAACCCGGGCTGCCCGTCTGGAGGACTATGGCCTCCGCACATGCCATGTGCCACCAGGCCACCATGCTCCAAGTTTAAAGGTATAATATGTGGAATTTTATTAGAATGTTTGCATTAAAAAATCTAAATTAATAAAACATCAACATAGAGAATCATTCCCATGATTCACCACCAGCCTCAACATTATCTTTTTGTTATTGTTTTGATTGACAGCCCCCTGGCAGCAGAATTTACATTCTGCACGATAACCATTAAGTAGGAGTTCGATTTTTAGATGTGATTATATTGTGTTTTTCTTGCAGTCTTTTAACATGGCCACTCATTAGCAGTGCGTGTGAATATGATGTTAATGGACATGAACCCAAAGATCAGAGTTTCTTTTAAAGGGGACATATTATGAAAATCCACTTTTACAGTGTTTTTTATTTGGGTAACCTGAGTGTCTACCGACGCACAAAATGTGAAATAAATCCATCCAGTCCTTTGTTTGTGGTCTGAATAAAACTTACAACACAGAGAAAAATGCTCCGTTTCAAATTTGATTCTGGTAAAAAAAAAATTACTCCCCTCCCCTGGTATCTCCACCTATGGACTCCACCCCCAGCCTAGAGCAAAACTTTTTGTGGGGGGGCATTGCATTTAAAGAGACACACACACCAAAACGGAGTGTTCTGAGAGAGCTGGTTTCTACAGGGTCACAAACCTCCTCTGGTGCTTGATTCATGTTATATTTTGACCAAAGCACAGCACAGATGTTTCATTTAGACCACAGGGGACTGTTTGAAAGGTGGACAAGGGGGGTAATATGTCCTCTTTAATAGAAGTTTACTTACGTTCTAGTGATGAGCTCATGTGAGAGACAAGCCGGAGCAAACATCGCCCTGCCATTCAAAACACAGAATCACACAGTCAACAAATCTGTTTTTTTTTTTTTGGTTTGTTTGTTTTTTTAACTTTGCAGTATATTAAGTGTGCGATTTGTCTTACGGCACATCGCCCAGCGTGCTCCTCAGCTCCTGTCCCAGGTTCTGAATGTACCTCCACTGGCCCTCATGGACGGGCTGTCCCGTTAGGTGGATGTTGTCGACGGTCAGCTGAGCCTCGTCAAACAGCCACTGCACCACGAACACCGGGCCTTACCGGAGAGAACGTGTATTACAGGTCAGACTTAATAATGACACGCCGGTCTTTATCATCTAAACCAGCTTTTTGAAGAGGCGGGGGGGTTTTGTCACTCACTTTTCAAAGTAGGGTAGACTTTATATCCAAAGAAACAGTTCCACTCTTCTCCTACGTTAGCCTGTCTGCAGCTCTCTGGCACCAAACCGCCCCAGTACCTGCACAGCACAAACACAAACAGCACGTTACAGAATCTGTGCGTCTTCCTCCCGCTTTGACACATCCACCTGTCCTTCCAGCCGTCCTCCTCTCCTACCTGATGCCTCTTTTTATGGCCTCAGTGGGGGCACAGCTGATGGTGTCCAGGCAGTCTGTGAATTTGTACTGTTTGTTGTCAAGGAACCATCCAGAGTCGGCGAGGCCCCGGACCTGCACCCCTCTGTGTCCCTGTGACTTCAGCTGCTCTGCAACATGGTCCACATTCAGCAGGACGCCTGTACCGCCCGCACTGGTGAGAGGCAGAGTGGGATAAGAGAGTGAACACACGCACGCACACAAACACAAAAAGTGACATGAGCTAATCTGACCTGCTTCCTGCCAGGAGCAGAACCTTGGCGTTGTCCAGACCTTTTGTCAGCAGCTCGTTCACCACCTCCTTGATGATCAGAGAGCCCATGAACGCATAATCACCTGAGAGTGAAAAACCAAGTGTATTAAAATGTATCTGTGTATTATTTCAGTTAGTTTCTTCTTTTATTCTGCACATTTTCTGGAAGCTTTCAGATACGGTCCAAATGTAGCAGCATCACCAGGAATGGTCCGGGCAGTATCGAGGAGTGTAGCCAACAGTTAAAGCCAGACCAACAAGACAAAATGAAGAATACTTTGATAACATGGTTTTTGAGGAAAGATTGTACACGTTGGTTAGGAACACGGTGAGGAACTTTAAACATATACAGTATATGATGTGAGAGCGCCCAACCACAACAGAACAGCTGGACGGAGATAAGGCAGGATCTAAAGATCAGATGGACCGTGTGGAGGACCGTGCAAGACTGCGCTCTCTAGTGGATGCATTACTGAACATCCATCCCAACATAAAGGATATCTGGGAGACTGAGTATATGTAATTTGATCATTATTTCTAACTTTTAACGACTAATCATTTTATCTTTCTTTATATATTATTGTGTAGATCTTCAGGTCTGATAAATGAGGTCTTACTTTGATCTGTCTTTGGAGTGACTCCACTCCACACATCACTGGAGCAGTACGGGATGAACCTGCAGGAGAGAGAGAGAGAGAGAGAGAGATAACTGACAGATGAGATACAGTTGTAAGAAAAAGTATGTGAACCCTTTGGAATTTCTTAGTTTTCTGATTAAATTGGTCATAAAATGTGTTCTGATCTTCATCTAAGTCACAACAGTAGACAAACACAGTCTGCTTAAACTAATACCACACAAACAATTATATGTTTTCATGTTTTTATTGAACACAACATGTAAACATTCACAGTGCAGGGTGGAAAAAGTATGTGAACCCCTAGGCTAATGACTTTTCCAAGAGCTAATTGGAGTCAGGAGTCGACAACCTGCAGTCCAATCAATGAGACGAGATTGGAGGTGTTGGTTAAAGCTGCCCTGCTCTATAAAAAACACACTCCAGTTTTGAGTTTGCTACTCTCAAGAAGCATTGCCTGATGTGAACCATGCCTCGCACAAAAGAGCTCTCAGAAGACCTACGATTAAGAATTGTTGACTTGCATAAAGCTGGAAAGGGTTACAAAAGAATCTCTAAAAGCCTCGATGTTCATCAGTCCACGGTGAGACAAATTGTCTATAAATGGAGAAAGTTCAGCACTGTTGCTACTCTCCCTAGAAGTGGCCGTCCTGTAAAGATGACTGCAAGAGCACAGCGCAGAATGCTCAATGAGTGTCAGCTAAAGACTTACACAAATCTCTGGCACATGCTAACATCTCTGTTGATGAATCTACGATACATAAAACACTAAACAAGAATGGAGTTCATGGTGAGGACACCACGGGGAAAGTCACTGCTGTCCAAGAAAAACATTGCTGCATGTTTGAAGTTTGCAAAAGAGCACCTGGATGTTCCACAGCACTACTGGCAAAACTTCCTGTGGACAGATGAAACCAAAGTTGAGTTGTTTCTCCACACTATGTGTGGAGAAAAAAAGGCACAGCACACCAACATCAAAACCTCATCCCAACTGTGAAGTATGGTGGAGGGGGCATCGTGGTTTGGGGCTGCTTTGCTGCATCAGGGACAGATTGCTATCATCGACGGAAAAATGAATTCTCAAGTTTATCAAGACATTTTGCAGGAAAACTTAAAGCCATCTGTCCACCAATTGAGGTTCAACAGAAGATGGGTGATGCAACAAGACAACGACCCAAAGCACAGAAATAAATCAACAACAGAATGTCTTCAACAGAAGAAAATACGCCTTCTGGAGTGGACCAGTCAGAGTCCTGACCTCAACCCGATAGAGTTGCTGTGGCATGACCTCAAGAGAGTGATTCACACCAGACATCCCAAGAATATTGCTGAACTGAATAAGTTTTGTGAGGAGGAATGGTCCAAAATTCCTCCTGACCATTGTGCAGGTCTGATCTGCAACTACAGGAAACGTTTGGTTGAGGTTATTGCTGCCAAAGGAGGGTCAACCAGTTATTAAATCCAAGGGTTCACATACTTTTTCCACCCTGCACTGTGAATGTTTACATGTTGTGTTCAACAAAAACATGAAAACATATAATTGTTTGTGTGGTATTAGTTTAAGTAGACTGTGTTTGTCTATTGTTGTGACTTAGATGAAGATCAGAACACATTTTATGACCAATTTAATCAGAAAACTAGAAAATTCCAAAGGGTTCACATACTTTTTCTTGCAACTGTAGTTATACTACCTAAAGTGGATGTTACTGCTTTTTTGACTGATGCCTAAAACATCCCTGAATTCAATGAAAATAGAAATATATATATATACCTTCGTAGTTTAAGCTTGGTATGAATAACTCAAGGTTGTTCACACATTCTAAGGGCGCACTCACATACATACTTCACCCCTAAAGTCCAGTTCGTTGGGGTGCTGGTGGCGCAGTGGTTGGTGCGCGCGCCCCATGTACGGAGGCTTTGGTCCTCCAGGTGGGCTTTTTAAAAAAAAGTCCAGTTCGTTTTACCAGTGTGAGTGCTCAGTGCTCTGATCCGTGCTCAAGCATGGTACTCTTCCTTGGGCCTGGCACACTTGGATGAGGTGTGCTTCAGCACGGTACAGTTCATGCACGAGCACAAGCACGGGTACACAATGTGGAAAGCCTTCATTATCGAGAAATCCCAGAGTGTTCGGTCTGTATCTGACTAAAGTGAGTCAAAATATTCCACAAAGTAGCTGTCTTATTTTCCGTGTTCTTCTCTGATTTACAGACGCAGACTCAACCGCATGTCCCTTTCATGATTATTTTTTTCTCAAGTCCGCCTGTCTTGTAAACTAATTAAGCTTCATAATTACTTGAGGCCATTCATGTGTTGTATTACAACGTTATGTACAAGAGGTAACCGTGCTCAGGCCTGGTTAGTCCTGGAGCAGTGTGAGCACTGGCGTTTTAATGCACAGGCTTCCCTGGGCTGAAGCCTAGGCTTTGAGATCCTTTTTTACACGTTACGACACGGAGCAAAAAGGATGCGGGTACAAGTGTGTTTGTTTTTAAACAGTGCACGTGTGTGTTATTGGGACGGGTTGGCATGCTGGGGGAGGCGACAGGAGGCCGATTAGGGCCTGTACAAGGACCCGTAGCCCCGGGGCCTACGACCGCAGGTTAAATCGCCAATGAGTGTGAGTGCAGAATAGAGGAGGAATGGGGACATTTGTGCGCCCTTAGAATAGTCCCTTTAAAAGTGCTCATATATTTATGTGGTAGCCCTTTGTCATTAAATAATATAAGCATTCCAAGAGTTATCTTTTGGAAAGGTGTCATTTCATTTCAAGCAGAAAGTCACAACAAAATTAAAAAAAATAGTAATGCACACGAGTGTTTACAATAAAGGGAGGAGGAGACTGAACTTCTTACACCATGTTGGCGTTCCACCAGTGAGGGTTTTCCTCTGGCTGAGGAGACAGAATCCCTGTTCCTGTGAATACAAGGAAAGGAAAGATGTAACATTGACTTTATTTTCTGAACAAACTTCCTCGTCTCAGAATCAAAACTCTTCAGTGAAAGCCAGAGGAGTTTCAATCGTTCAAGCTTCTCGTTAAATATGGCCAAACCTTGATGTGCTGCTGTGTGTGTGTTTCAGTGACGTTAAGGTGTTGGTTTACCGTCTGTGTTTGTATGCTTTCCCTGTGGTCAGTAAGTCATTAACCTTTCCCGCTTTGGTCAGCAATTACACCCATTCATTGAAGAGCTCTGTGGCTGCTGAACTGGCCACCAGAGTAAAGTTTACAGAGAGAGAGGGATCATAAAACAAACAAGGAGTTCCCTGACGGCTTCAGTTCAAGAAGCAGAGTTTGACTTTTTAAGACTAAAGCAAACTCAGCTAAAGAGGAAACACAAACAGGAATCCATGAATCTCATCCATTCAGGGGAAGCTTGTTTTTTTCCTACTGAGGAAAAATCATAACCTCGGTAAAGAGGTGCAGCGATTTCTCAGAAGCAGCACACACACTGTAATGCATGTGTGTGTTTTTGTGCAATGTGTGTATTGATTAGAGTAGTCGAATGACACTTCCCGCTCACCAAAGAGACCACTCCCCCTACTGGCAGTAGATTAGAAAACTAGTAGCAAAGAAATGTTAATGTGTGGCATTTTGTACTTCAGATAAATGCAGTTTATGATATATTTTACCACTAGAGAGGACAAAGGGTGAGGGCTTTGGGCTAACAGTAGAGAGGGTGAAGGTGTTAAACTCAGGACTGATGTGTGTCTACTGACTTTAACCAGAGGTGGAAAGAGTATTAAAAATGTATACTCAAGTAAAAGTCAAAAGTAGTTTGTTTACAATGTACTTTAAGTAAAAGTTACTTAGTTACTTTTTTTAACGACGGATCTATCCGTAGTGCAGAAAGGATAGGAGGATTTAAATCTGAAAGTTTTTTTTAATTAAATCTTTAAAACAAATCTTTACAAATTAAAGTGCAATAACAAAATGAAACATGTCGACAGTCGACATTTAAAACCCTAAGGGAGATGTCGTGTGTCATTTTAGAGCATTTTCAAACAATACAACCATTGAAGGTGTCAGTAAGTGACAGTGATTTTTGTGCAAAGTACCCTGATAGGTTATTCTATCCAGAGTGTGCGTGCGTGCGTGTGTCTGTGTCTGTGTGTGCGTGCGCGTGCGTGTGCGTGTCATTACCTGTTCTGGTTTGTGGCCACTTGGTGGAGCTCATCAGTCTCCTCATGGTCTCGTACCTGCTGTCACAAGTCTGCCTGTTGAAACAGTACCATCCACCTGCAACACACACACACACACACACACGCACACACGC